TAAGTGTTTTTGTTGTTTATTAAATGTATTTCACAGTTATAGGTAGTTTGGAGTGTTTAGAGGTTGAAATAGGAAAAATACGGTTCCCCCACCCAGACAAACACTCGAGCTCACTTTGACATTCATCGAGCTCACAAGTTCTAGAAAATATGTTCAAGACGCTCATCGAGCATACATGGGTTATTCCACTTTCATGTCTTTTTATGATGTACTCAATTAACTATCAAAACTCATTAACACAACTTCAATTACAACTCGACTTAATGATTTTTGGACAGAAAACTCGTCTAAAATTATTTAGACCTAACAAACTCCATTTTTGACATTTCGGCAAATTAATTATAAATACTACAAAAGTGATCAAATTCTAATCACCCACCAAGTTAGAATTTGACAAACCAAACAACTCCTACAACTACACTCTACCTCAAATGCTTTTTCATACATATTTACTGGAATACAATTCAAGCAATACCATATGTAACGCAAGAGAAAACTAAAAATATGTAATCAACAAGTCATCAAATAGTTAAATAATGCAAGCTGTCATCTCTAACACCATGAGCAATGTGCAAAATTATTAATGTGACATCTCTATAAAGGTGACTTGCAATCAAATCCCTGCTAATCAGCTTAGGATAAGGTGAAAGGTTATATGCCTATGACAACAACTATGTGACATCATTGAGCTTGAAATGTGAGCTATTGGGATGAGGCTGGATGTCAAGTATTCAAAGGCCCTCGTCTATAGCATCTTGAACTATAAATAATCATCATTTGTGTCATTTAGAGGGAAACCTTTATGGTTTAATCTAAATTCGACTTCTATATTCTTGTCTTTCTTGTTCTTTCAAACCAAATATAATCTGTAATCTCACTTGACCGTCGAAAATATATATGATTTTTGCATCCACTCTTGAAGCAACGTTATGTGCCTAACATGATTGTCCAAGTGTGCAATTAATGTATGTGCAGATGAGAGAGGAGTTGGGATCTGCTGACGCCCGAGTTTAAGGGTTGACATTTTAACTTCGACTAAACATTTCACAGTTTCCAAAATTTAAATAGAATCGGGTGTTTCTCACTTATAAAATAACCAAAGTTTAATTGATGGTTCTGATTTTTAAAATATCCGGACTAAACATCAATGCCCCACTAGGGATGGACATTTTAGTCGAAATCGAAAACTACACGAAATGAATGGTTTCATTTACAAAAAATTCAAAGTTTAATGTCTGATTTCGATTCTTGAAAGACTCATAGCAAACTGAGAGAATTAGAAATGTTAATTATGTACACCAAGTGCAATAAAAATCGTAATAAGGGGAAAAAAACCCACAAAAAACGTACAAGATTTATAAATGTTCACCTCAATTATGATTGATGTTATAATAATTTAATATGATGAAAAGAAGTTTGCAAAAAAAATTTAAAAAAATAAAAATTGCACAATCTCTTTTTTTTGTTGATAAAATAAATCATAATGATGACTCCGTATTTAAAATAAAAATTAGCGCAAAGTCAAAATTATAAGTTTGAAGTTCCTAAACTATTTTCCGCAATGTATATGAGGTTTGCATAAGACCTCTACGTAGCTACAATAAATTAGTCTCCACAACTTAACCATTCAACGTTTACTCTTGTATGAATCTCACCAACTTCAGAAGTCAATGAAAACTATCCCTAGGCCACAACCTCCTTCAACAGAATTTGACAATCATAATGAAGTTCAACAATAGTCCTCCTAGATTCTTGAGTGGTAGAATACGTATGAATATGATCAGCAAATAAAAACATGGTGGCCATTCAACAGTAGATTTAACTCCAATTGAACAATACAAGACTTCGGAAAGAGGACATTTTTCAATGCTACTCCCAAAATAGCTATTTTGCTTATTTCCACTTCCCAAAATTATGGAGAGAAATTCCAGTAGGACGGTCGCACCATATGGCCCACCATATCAGGGTGCGCTACCTAGACGGGTGACCCACCACACACCCCAGAGGTGTGTGGGCCATTCTCTAAGGTGACACTCAGGTCGGGCGAATTCAATAATAGACGCCTGTTGACATTCTTCAGCTGCATGCATCACTGTACTTCCACTTGACACCTATCGTAATAATAAGCATTGCATTTTTTATGTAGTCATCGATTCTCCTGAGAGTTCACAATTGCTGAAATTTCTCTCCAAATTATGACCAAAAAACTCTCGGGTATAAGTGTGTCCAAAAGAAATGCTAAAATCAAACTTATTATAGTGGCAAGTACCAAAATTGGTAGTAATGCAGAGATATGCATTGGGAAATAGATTTCTTAATGCGAAGCTGTATACAGAGTGCCAAATAAATGAAGGATTAATCAATGGTCGAAGAGGCCATCTTTTCAAGCATTTAATTATGAAGATTTTTACGGATTCACAATTCAATAGCGTATATTCTATGAACAGGTCATAGTTAATTAGAGTATCTTCACTAAACTCTCTTTTAAAGACTATATTATATCATCTGAAGAGTATCTTTAAATTTAGAGTTAAAATTTTGAAATACTCCAACAATCTCGCCTCTTTATATATTAACACTTAATTTTACTACTTTCAAAATATATTTATTATTTTTCTCTATATTTTATTTTAACTAACTTTTTTTTAAAAATTATTTTATTATTTTTCTACATTAAAAATTGAAACATTTTGAATACATTTAATTATAGAGAGTAAGTTTGCCTTTTCAGACTTTAAAATATATTCACACGGGGAAGAATGTATCTACTACAGCTCCGATGGGTTCCCTTAACCAAGCCACTGATCAATCCTGAATAATTATTCTGAAAGTTTGGAAATAGAATTTTTTGCTAAATTAAATGGAACTCTCTTCAAGTGGAAGGCAGGGGAGATCAAATGGAATAGATAACTCTTCATATTCTTTCATTATGTGACTAGAACAATAAGCTCATGAGCTTGGTCTTACTTCAACGTCGAGAAAAGAAAGAAGACTTTTTAAAGAATCTCTTAAAACATGATTTTAAAGATAGATTCTTTAAAATAGAGAACATTTCATGTTTAAAAAATATTTTGAAGAGACTCTTTAATAAATAATATAAACAAGTTAAATAATATTAAAATCTTGTACGTTAATATTTCACGCTAATACATTTACTTGATTTGAAAACAAAATCCTGCCTAAAACAACTTTTATAAACAACATATTAAAATTTTATTTCAATATAATATTTAATTCGCAACTCGAATAATAATCACGGTCAAACGAGTGACTCATGGGTCGAACTAGTAGCTCGATAATCCAATATTTTTCGAACAGATCTGATGATAATTAAGAGGAGAGCTGTAAAATTTATTTTATGAGATTTATTTCTATTATATAATATAATTACTATAATACAAAGCCATGTGTCTGCTCCAAAACTTAGAGGCGTAGTACCACTCTACTCTACCAAAGGGGGGTGGGGGGGGGGAGTGGTTGGGTTGTGGAGGGGTTTAACTTTATAGTGTCTAGCTTTTTCCCAATTCAAAGCTCAAAAAACCCTTGTCAATCTCATTCTCCTATTTATGACTGTAGAAAAAGTGAAAATAAAATAAAACGACTATGGGAGAAATGTTTGTGTTGCACGCATGTAAATTCGCACATTTAACCATTTTAGAGGATTACATAAGGTTTACAACTGAAAACTCGAGTAGGTACAACACAAAACCTTCATATTTCAACTTCAGGTGATAATGTCAAGACGCATTATGAGACATCAAGTGTCAATCTGCTATGAACAACAATGTTTATTGTGCCACAATGATGTTACAATTTTTGTAACACTCTACGAAAATTGACAAGAAGTTTAATCAAATCCCCAGCTAAGGGAATGTTGTCCCATTATTTGGAAACTCCAAGAATTATGGTTCAGATGGAGCCCAAAACCAAGTTGAAGTCATTATGCAAATCAAGAAATGAATGAGACACTTCAATAGGCAAGAACAATGCAAATGGCTCTCTTTTATAATCCAAACAGATAATAAGCCAAATGAAGAAAATTCCAGTAGGGAACCATCAGAGCAAATGAGCAATGTGCAATCAGGCACTTGATATGCAACATTTTCCTTTCAAGAATCTGTAACCACACTGCAAAATCCAAGAATGTTATGGTAAATCCTGAAAAATAGTATAATGCTGATTATACATTTGTAAAAATCAAAGCTCATTCCATTGTCTAAGAAAAATAAGTATCTCTCCACCCATCTCGGCCATCGCCCAACAAACTCGCACCCCAATTTTATGAGGACAAGATAAAAGTCTAAGGACATAACAGAAGGTCTGTGTTGCAATATAACCATATGACAATTCTCATCCAATTTAATTTAACCTGATACAAGATGCCAAAAACACAGTTGGATTTACTGCAAAATCACATGAAAGGCTGCTCTTAGTTGATGATAAGACAGAGAATTAAAGTTCTTCACAATGAAACAGTACTGAAGAGGGACTCTTCTGGCTATCAGAAGTCATTAGTCTTTTACATTCTTTTCCATTTGTAGAGTGGGCTCATCTGTAGCTCTGGCTGCAGTTCGATTTGGGTTGATTTCGACTACAACCGAAACCCAAACCATCAACTTAGGTGAATTTCAATCCAAATCAACTCACTCTATCTCTTAAATTGAACCGAACCAAAACAAATCGGTTCAGTTAGTCAGCTTGGACGTTTAGTCCAAAATGATTTTTTTTTTTAAAAAATGTCCAAGTTTTAGGTCCACCTGTACTACAAGAACTAAAATAACTAAATAAATTTATATTACAAGAACTATTGACTAATTAATAAAACTAGGTTAATAGACACACATCAATAGAAAACTTAAGAATTTTGTTGCATTTTTATGAATTATGTAAATTGACTGCCTAAGTAGGGAAAAATATATATATATATATATATATATAACATAATGAGCCAATGAAAAAAAAATTCCAGTGCAATTACTTACTAGCAACATCATAAATTGGAAGGATTCGAGATATAGTTATCAGATAGAGCTTATCTTTTGATTTTTATTTTTCTTAAAAAAACAAAACAGGTAAACATGTTAGTAGATAGATGAACTTCAAACCATGGATGAACTAACCCACAATTTTTGTTTAAAAAACCTGAGTCATCTGTATTTCCATTACAAAGCTACTTTATATTTATGAAGTAGGCAGAGGAGTAAGTTAAGAAGGAACAATTTCCAGGCAGTAAGTATCTTTCATTTAAAATTACGAAAGGGCTAAAAAATCTGTTTACAATTAAGATTAGTTCACCTGTAAATTGCCTCCTGGTAATAAGGGCCAGAGTATTTATTGTGCAGAGACAGCTAAGCAGTACTTTCTCTTCAATGATAATGGTTTTACGGGCCTGGAAGAGTCAGATAGATAAGAAGGCATTTACCGCATTTACCTCTAGTCAACAAGATTGAAGATCGTCCAATAGCCAATCAGTAAGAAACTTTTTCTTGTTAAATTAGTATTTGTTACATATTTCTGAACATTTAGCAACAATGGATTCTTCCAAATCCCTTGAAGGCACTGAAGAATGCAGCAGCAATGAGTCGGGGTGGACAATGTATATTGCTTCACCTGTCAATGAATACAATCACGATGATGAAGTCAATGACGATGACAGCATTGATAAACAAGAAGATGGACTTCATGCTGAAGATGTTGCCGGAGACACTGACAGTGATGACTCTATGGCGTCTGATGCCTCTTCCGGCCCAAGTCATCGAGAAGATCTATGCGGTAATATTCGGGGAAGTCACTGTCCAGGTGACTTTGGTCATGCTGGAGACAAAGATAACATAAAATGGTTCGGTAAGAAACATCACCAACAGGAAGAGAAGAAACCTCGTGATGAGCAGATAAAAGCAGCAAAAGACAAGCCAGAACACAGGGAAATTGGTGCTGGCAGATTGAAGAAAAAATGATGATGCTTCTTCAAGGAAATTGTACGAGAACCTTTTACCAGACGTTCTCAAGAAACCTACCATATCTGTTCCAATCCTCTGAGGTATTCAATGCTGAAGTTTATATTTATTTTGTAGCTTTTGATTCCCAGTTTAATAGAGTATCAAGTAACAACCTGCTTATCCCCTTTACAGAAAATCCCTCTCTGAGTTCTTTACATATGCATATGGATGACTATACCTTGTTTGCGTGTGCAAGTAGAAAGCAATAGTTTCATGCAGTCATTTAATCTTATTCAAGCCTGTAATATCAATGTAAGATTTTGAGATGCCGTAAGCCACTGATTTCAGAATGCTGATACTTAATCACAAATACAAAAGAAAAAATGACAGCATCGCATATTTTAACGAAAGAATCCCTGACTAAGAAGTCATTACAATTTATAAAGGGAAGAGTTTCATCCATGTTTATCCTCAACAACAAGATTGCAAAGCAGTATATGGAGAATAGAGCATCAATTTGATCCCTTGTGACAATCATTCATCACTATCAGTAAAAACAGGCTACAAGGCAGGACAGATTCAGGAACGGCGATCTTGGGCTTATTTTGCTAACATAAGAATATTCCATATGTTCAGATCCAAATACAATATGATCCTTGAATTTGGTCCTATCTTAAATCGAGTAAAAAAGTAATAAGGTATGTTGTCATTTGTCCTGCTTCTGCATCCCTTAGCGCTTTACAAATCTTTGTTCTTGGCAACAATAAATCCACTATATGATTCATATAAGTGCTACAAAATGGAGACACCCCCCAAAATTTAGACACAAGTTCATGCAAGGTCACAAGTTATAGGAATAATGATGCTAGATAGTTTGATGAAAATCACAGTCCACGCAACTAGGTTATATAACAAAGAATGGCCCAATAATGACAAACTGGCACCAGTCTATAAAATATTCAAGAAATAGTAAAACTTAACCAAAAAAAAAAAAAACCTAAAAGAAGATACATATTTATCATTAACTTTATAAAAGCAGAAGAGACTAAACCAAATCCCAGCACAAGTTGCCAAGGTGGACCCTATATATTGTTGGGTCAATCAATGAGCACGGCTTTAAGCAGGAATAACCTCGGTCAGCCTAGAATGACACCACAACTTGTGCTCTTCAGTTTTAACATAAGGTCCCAAAGGATGAAGAAGAGTATGAAACAACTCTAGCTAGTCTAAGGCTGGCCATAAAAAATCAAAATGTTGGCCCTCACTATTCTATAATGATTCACATGCATTGTAAACCAAGAGAGGAGTATCGAGCTCTAGGTGCAACGATGTCCCCATACTTCTAGAAGGCGAGGGATTAAGTTCAAAAGCTTTAAATAGTACGAGATCTAGCAAATCCCACAAGCTCAAAACAATACTGATGTGTGATATTCTAGCACAATTGCTGCAAGTATTTCAAGCTCGTGAAGATGGCTCCGATAGAGTAACTGGAAAAGACAACAATAAGTTGACTTAGATGGTCGCCGTTCCTAGCTACCTCAAAGATAACAAGCTGCTGAAGGATAGCAATTAAGCAAAGAAGTAAACTCACGACAACCAGATACATTTATTGTTGATGAAGTCTTATGCAAGAAGGAATTGGAGGCAGACTAACACAGGTAGATTGCCGAAGTAATCTGTAGAAAACAAATGAGAGCACTGTTCCTAACTTTCTGAGGGCAACTACTATTGGCCAGCAATGAAAAGGATGCCTATAATATGTAAAGGAATGAGACAAATGCCAGAGGTTCACAACCTTGTTGAAGTTACTACCAAAAAAAACTCGCTAAAACTACCAGTACCAGGCCTACTGGACGAAAAAACTGCACTGACAATAAGCCGCAACGAGTCAGATCTGAGATACATGTTATAACTATGATGACGGTGCCATGTATGTCCCAGTGACCCAACATTGCAAAATGACTCATCGCCTGGTCCAAATTCACTGAGCACCAATTCAGTCGAAGGGCGTAAGGTCATAACAATAAGTGCAGACCATGCTGTTAGTGACGAGCTAAAGTCCCAACAGGACTTTCCTAAGCATTGGAAGAACATAGTGGATGTTTCTAGTCTTTGTTTACTTCAAAGTTCTCCCAACTTACTTACGCTTGGGACTGAGTCAGGTCAGTTACCTAATACAGTCTCCATTATGTCAGATTTGTAACTAATCCCATTTTTCAACCATATAAAGTATTTCCATTAAGATTTAAATTACGTATTAGATATTATTTCCTCCACGTGAACATTGACATCCATGTAGTGTTGCAAGTGATTGGTCCAAAAATCGACAACTCAACTTGATGGAAAATGGTTCCAAAATCGTTTTGCCATCAATTTAGTTTTATTACTTTGACTGTTAAAACTGAATCCATTACCCCTCGTACTAATACCAAAACAGGAAATGAACTAGAATGCCAGTCTATTTCACAAATTAATAAAAAAAACTCAGTCATTCTTCAATACAGAATACAATCTTGAGAAATATACAAGTCAATGAATCACTAGAGAAACATAGTTTGATCCCGCTATATTTCCAGTACAGTAAAAACTTTTTTAAGCATTCTGATTCTACATGATCAAATACATTTTTCAGTTGCAGTTAAAAAAAAAAAAGGGATTCTATTGCAGTTCAAGAACTATAAGTGTCTTCAACTTAAGGTGCATAACTCATTGATGCAGAGAAACTGTACATTAACTGATGATAAGAAAGTAGAATCCCCATTGAACTTCCATGAAACAACCTGCTTACCCTGCAAAATAGATGCCGGGGATCAATTAACTGCTACAAAATGTTTTATTTGATTAACATGCATAGATAATTGCACTGGCAAAAGGAAACAGAAGCAAAGACAAGATCTTAAGAAATAGTAAAAATATAAGTGACAAGGAATTAAGTTTCTACTACTATTAAGTATCTTCATATCTGCTGTTGTTTTGCTCTCATCAGGGGATTAAGTGCTTCGACAAACTTAGAACCAAGACACTGCAAACATCGTTCCATTCAATTAGCTCATTTCCAGAGTGGAAACAGAAGTATGCATTTGCCATCATTCTCCTATTCTTGTAATTTTTCCTATTTTCTTTCTATCCTTTTGTGCATATTGACCTCTAACCCATTTGAAGTTGGCTCAATGGAAGAACCACTATAAAATAAAGGACATAGTGAGTCTACCTCTCAAATCCTTAGAAGGATAACTGAAGATATTTCAAAGAAAAAGGAAGAAATTTATCGAACTCTCCCACAACAAACTACATTTAATATTGTTAATAATTTGATGCACACAAATGACCACATCGATGGAAAAGGATGACTTCCGCAGTTTTATATGTTATGCGTGTTCAATTCAATATCTAGATTTGTGAAGATCTTGCACCAATCTACAACCCTAGGTTCACGGAGGAGGGGCCGCAAGAAGACTTGGGCAATGGGTTGTTCAGACAACTTGGCATTTGTTCTCGCAAGCAAGTGCAACTCTTGAAGACTCCACAAATAACTACTTGGGATTCATCATCGCAGCCAACATGGTTAAACCAAGTTGTTGCAGAAGTCCATCACACTCACATATAAATAACAACAAATTTTAAATATGGGACTGCACAAAATATAAAGTTCTGTATTTGATTGACGGCAAGGCCGATTTAGCCATAGTTTGGCAATGACCCTTCCAGAGTTGCTATGGAAGCCTGATGTTTCAGTTTCGTGTCAAATAGCATATTACTACTTAAAAATCGACAATAAGTCCCTTCAGAACTGTACTAATTAATATTACAGATAAATAATTATTTTGAATAGGAATTCAGTAAAAAAGAGAGAAATTATCTATCTTTAAACATAGGACAACTTTCGATTATAGATGAACAGAAATCAATTTTAATGTGTAGAGATGCAATAAATTAATAAAGCCCAGAAAGTAAAACACACAGCAGCCCAGATATAGAAAGAGGAGTACTTACAGGAATTGATACTAGGGAAATCAAGAAATTTCCTTGGCATTCTGGAAGAAAGCAGCAGAGCAAAGAATTGAAGCTATGAATGCAAATAAACCCAATCCAATCATCAGTGAAATTCCAGCAACCACGAAGTCCAGCATGCATTGCGCACTTAATCCCACCATCTTTTTCCCCTTTTCTTCTACTTCAAAATTGCCCTCGATCCTGTGTATGTATATGCGAGGAAGCTGACATGTCGTGCGCACCAGTATCCAGACAAACAAGCTATTTTTCTTTTGTTTGTTTGTTGGTACATATCCGCAATTTACCTCCACACAGGCGGTGGGCCCTGAAAGTTGGGTTCAAATTTTTTTATTTATTATTATTATTATTATTATTATTATTATTTTTTTTTTTTTTTGAGGAAACTGACATGCTTGTGCATCGAGGCGTGAGATCATCGCCGCAGGATGGGTGCTGGAATTTCATTGCAGGTCACTTATTTTATTGGTTTGTTTCATGTTAGTCACTGAATATGTAAATTACGCGTTTATTTTCCATTTTTGTAAAAATAAGAATGAAAAATATGATCGTTATAGACCTCACATAAAAGATAAAAATTTAAATTTGGTAACTTGATGTAATGAATAACGATCATATTTTTCATTTTAATCGAAAAAGAATTGAAAACAAACATGATCCAAGTTTATCTAAAATCGATTGACTACATGAAGCAAATAAAATAAAATTCATATTCCTCGGAATCATACATTCCTTGGGACGAGCATCGATCCTGTAAACATAATGCAAGTTGGTAAAAATGGCATCACTTTTCCCAATTCTTTTTGGAATTTGGAATAAGATAAACTGTTTTTTTTTCATGCGTTTATTTTCCATTTTTGTAAAAATAAGAATGAAAAATATGATCGTTATAGACCTCACATAAAAGATAAAAATTTAAATTTGATGACTTGATGTAATAAATAACGATCATATTTTTCATTTTAATCGAAAAAGAATTGAAAACAAACATGAGCCAAGTTTATCTAAAATCGATTGACTACATGAAGCAAATAAAATAAAATTCATATTCCTCGGAATCATACATTCCTTGGGACGAGCATCGATCCTGTAAACATAATGCAAGTTGGTAAAAATGGCATCACTTTTCCCAATTCTTTTTGGAATTTGGAATAAGATAAACTGTTTTTTTTCAACTTTATTTAAAGAGGAATTTTTAATTAGAGATGTAAATTGGAATAAAAGGGTAACATATTCAGAATTTTTCTTTGCTTTGCTGTGCTGACTGTAAAAAGAAAGTCGAGAGCTATCATCTCATAAGAAATAAATTCAATTTGTAATGAATCCCAGTTTTTTCATTAAAATAAATTCTTAAAAAGTAATTTGACACACTTTAATCACTTATTTTTAAATAAAATAATATTACATGCAAAACGATGACTTTTCTAATTTTTTAACCATGCCTTTCTCATCAGTGCACCATTAAAAAATGCATTTTTTGAATAAGAATGGGGCTCAAACAAGATGTATAAAATTCGAAATATGTAACGTAAAAGAGAGTTTGATTTGATTTATGTTAAATTAATCTAAGAAAACTGTAAAAGTGTGATTTTTATCAATTTATGGATAATTGTATTTGAATTCGAATTCCCATATTACTATTTATTTCAATTCTCAATTACGTAGTTTAATCATATTCATACGTTCTTGACGATCAACAAAACTAATATATTTAACTTTATTTTTTCTAACAAATTAAATTTATTTTAGTCACGACCCGAATTTATTTCTAATCCGAATTTAAATGATTTAAAGGCATTAAATTTTACATAATCTATATGATTGCACATGTGATAAATGTTATTCCTAATATTTTATTGCATATGTGTTATTTTTGATGCGTTCTAAACTTATTGTGAACCTCCTTACACTACAACAAGCAGCTAATTATCTAATTGGCGATCAAGCAATTGAATAATGCAAGTGGTATGAAAAATTAATCAAGAAGCACAAAAATAAACTAAATTAGTAATCTTGAATTAAAATAAATAAAATAATGTGGTTCATCGTCATCCAATACAAAAGAATCTAGTCTAGCATTCCTTTAAATAAATTACGAAAATAATAATGGAATTACCTGGATCACAAAAGAAAGCAAGAGATGTTGATCTTCAAATTCAAGGTTGAAATCTTCAAATTCTTGATGTAATTGACTCCAATTCCTCGTTAGGATTTGATCTTCACTCAAAAAATGGTGAATTCACCTCCTTTTTTTTATGAATTTGATGATATTATTGTGTATATAGAGACAAAAGAGAGTTTTTCTATGTTTTCCCAACTTCTGTATTTATTATTGTAGAATTTAGGTCAAGAAATTATCCTAAAATTGTTACCAATAAGAGTTTGAATTAAAAAGGGCAATTGGCCCGTTAGCAAAGAATTTGGCCCAAGTACATGCGCTCTGTAGCTGAGTGCAAGTATAGCTACAGAGCGCACACATGCATGTTGAATTGTTCTTGGATCAAGAAATTGCTTCCGCTTTTGGTGCGCAAGCAC